GGGCTTTTCAATACCTGATTTTCCTCGAGGGGGCACATGTAAAACAAGCTATAGCTCCCCTTCACTGTAAATTATTCATCTGCACAATAACTGATTGCACCATGAAGGACAAAGCCGGCCCGGAAAACCACAGGACGGAATGTAAAGGTGTAGCTCCTCACTATCCTCCAATGCGTCTGCTCGGTTTGCAGACGCGCGGAGAAAAAGCATCCCAACATAACGCAGACACGCCGAGGGTGTCCGCGGTTACAACCTGCAACAAGACACAACACGGAGCCAAAATAACCGGGCAGCAGTCGTTACCCACCTGTGATTTCTTTGCTCACACTCACGAAACCAAAAGCAGTGATCTCTTTAGAAGCCATGTCTGATCCTCTCTCCTATTGCAACCCCTCCTCCTCCCTCCTCCTCCTCTCTCCTCTCTCTCTCTCTCTCCTCTCTCTCTCTCTCTCTCTATCTCTATCCTCTCTCTCTCTCTCTCTCTCTCTCTCTCTCTCTCTCTCTCTCTCTCTCTCTCTCTCTCTCTCTCTCTCTCTCTCTCTCTCTCTCTCTCTATCTCTCTCTTCTCTCTCTCTCTCGGAAATTGACAAAAGGGATGGTCTCTCTCCCAGGCATTCCAGCAGAGCATCCGACTGCCCGACGCGCTTCCTGGAAGAAACCCTGTGAATGTAGAGAGGCTGGATGTGGGAGCGACGGGAGGTGGAGGGAGGGGCAGAGTGATGAGGAGTGGGCGGGGATCCGAACGATAATGAGCAAGCTGTGGTTACCTGGGAATAAGACAGATGCTGTGTTCGTATTTGAATATAATGAACAACATTTATAATCAATCGTATGGCCTGCATTATTCTTTTAAATAAGTGTACAAAATGTCATGACCCTCCATCCAATTGTTGTTGTGACTCATTCAAAATATTCTAACCTCGTGCCAGGAAATTCACAAAGTAAATAGAGTATATCATTTGGAAACCCTGAATGCCTATCCAGACCTGATGATGGTGTTAGCAGATAATTCAGAGGAGGACCAACATCATTGGAATTGGCAATTGATTCGTCTTAACCAAAGTGGTGAAGAGACTTAAAAACACAGTGAATGACGCATGCCGCATGGACTGGGGTTTCATTCCCTTACCAAAACGTAACCCTTAGATGAATAAGTGGGTCTTTCTTGACCCGGTGAGGTGGTTTTCTTAGAGTATCTTTGTAATTAGGCTACATTTTTTTTATCATTTCATATTCCAGCTATTCCTCAAAAAACATGTTTTGGCAACACATCCTCACTCCCAGGTCGGCCTATGTTGACGTTATGTCAAGTCCCCTGTGTCGGCTTTTTCCAACGCAAGGGGGGGGGGCCTTAGGGTCCATTTTCAGCTTTCCGGGATGTCCATATGCTTCTATGGACGCTCATGGAAGCACGGCATTCGTTTGTGTCGGCTGGCAATGTGAGCGTCCATGCTCATTGGATAACGGAGAATTGTACACATTGTACATTGTAAGTATTCCCCTTACTGTCGATTGATTTTACAGTGATATCTGCACTACTCATCAACTAAAAAACACCAGATTATCCTTGTTAATTACACAACATTGATTGGTTTAAATTGTGTGCAATGTTTTTGTATTTTTCCCCTTCGATTCGGAGAAACAAATATTTTTTCGGAGTAAAGGATGGCAGAAGACACTACACTACCCAGAATCCCCAGCTATCGTTTGGACTACACCATGTGCTCTGTTTGACGTCACGTGATCTTCAAATTTCTCCCTGCAGAAAAAAAAACATGGCCGAACTTCGTTTTATTCTCGGTGGAAAATGCCTATTTTAAAGTTAGTTTGGCCATTAAAATGCGTTTTGATGTCATTTGATGCGAGAAATATGAGTTGTTATTTCAGATTATGTGTGCAGTGGATGTACATGATCTTTAGTTTGCTAGTTATTACGAAGATTACTTCAGGAAATTGCGTCCATAACGTTTTCATGGTTACCAAGGTGGTTGCTAGGGACGCTGCTATCGATATGATTTATGTTATGTTGTGTAACTGTTTAATGGTGTTATCTTTATTGCTACCCCCTTCCTCGTCAATGTATAGTGTTGGTCCACAGCGCAAACATATTAGTTTAACAAAATCCGCATCTAAAGATAGCCTACGTTATTTTCCCCTGTGCAATTCCAGTCTCACATCTCAGAGCACATCGTCATTAACAAATACCGGAAACAGACCGAAAACATTTTTTTTTTTTAAATAATACTTTATTCCGAGTGTGCTTGCATTTCTCTTTGAAAGTCATCAGATAACGGCATTGTAATACACGGTTCGGCTGCATTAAATATTACATATCTGCCGTAGTTCTGTATTTATAGAGCCCTGATGAGAAGACTTCTAGACAAACATGAGGAACTGAAAACGTGACGTGGATCATAAATATATCAGCCATTAAACAACATCTTACATTTCTTTTCACACAATACGTCTCCTTGCAGTATCAACACTAATTCGGCTGACTTTTATATTTAATCCAATTGGTAGATAGGCTGTATTTACACCATAAAGGTGCACAGCTGATATAAAGGGACACCTAGTGGTTAAAGCATGTTATTGAATTTCATTAATTTTATTATTAGATATTAATAGGATCCCTATAAAGTATATTCATTACTCGTTATTCTCTACTAATAGTTAATTAAAGACTGTATATAATGACTATTTTGCACATCCCTTTCAAGATTTCAAGATTTTCTAAGGTTTATTGACATATCATATAGGCCTACACAACTATGGTGTAGTTATGCATTGAATGAAAAACTTGGGTCGCAGGTTCCTCAATAGTGCATTACAAGACATCTATCAATATTTGTGCATACCTCCAGCAATGTTAACTATGTTGAAGCACTTATTTTAACTGATATTATACATAATGTATTATACTCTTATAAGATGTATGTAGATATTTCATCTCCGGCCTTGTCAGGTATTGAACAATCAATAAATAAAGAACACAGAATTTGTGTGATTATACTAAATGATTTACAAATAAACACCACTGCATATTTAACTGTTACACATGCTGATGTAACGCAAATGTTCCAACTTGGGATCAATAAAGTATATCTTATCTTAAGCCGATGGCTACTGCCATATTTGCAAAATGTGCCTCTAAACCTTGACAAGTGCATGTTTCAGGCTTATCAATTAATGTAATGTAATGTAATGTTATCAATTAACAACAGGGGTCACAAACATAAGACCAGCTGTTAAATAAAGCTCTTCTGACCTTAGCTGGCATGTGTGTATATATATATATTAATGCTACCCATTATGGGCACAAGCAATTTTCACCCATTTATTAATTATATGTTTTAAATGTGAATGTTTCCTATCCCCTAAACCTCCATGGATTTACACAGTTTAATACTGGCAACTTCTTATTATGGGAAATACGAAAACGTCTTTTAAAACTACAACTCCCAGTAGAGACGTGCCATAGATAGAGAACATGTTGCGAAACAGAATAGCCAGCATGTGTAGTTCTGGGGACGGGGTGGGGGAGGGCGGGACGCGGTGGACCCGTTCAAATCCAGTTTTGGACAGTCTGCCGTGGTTCCATCCCATTTCAAGTGCTGTTCGAGGCTCGGCGTAACCCTCGGAGCACACTCTCCAATCACAGAGCTTGAGGACTATCACGGGGTTTGTCAAACAGAGCACATGGTGTAGTCCAAACGATAGCTGGGGATTCTGGGTATCTGCCATCCTTTACTCCGAAAAAATATTTGTTTCTCCGAATCGAAGGGGAAAAATACAAAAGCATTGCACACAATTTAAACCAATCAATGTTGTGTAATTAACAAGGATAATCTGGTGTTTTTTAGTCGATGAGTAGTGCAGATATTACTGTAAAATCAATCGACAGTAAGGGGAATACTTACTTCCGGGTGTACAATTCTCCGTTAACCAATGAGAATGGACGCTCACATTGCCTTTAAGGGCAGTCGACACAAACGAATGCGTGCTTCCATGAGCGTCCATAGAAGCATATGGACATCCCGGAAAGCTAAAAATGGACGCTAAGGGCCCCCCCTTGCGTTGAAAATGGACGCTAAGGTCCCCCCCCTTGCGTTGGAAAAAAGCCAACACAGGGGACTTGACATAACGTCAACATAGGCCGACCTGGGAGTGAGGATGTGTTGGTTTTGGATATCATGCCATTCAAATTTTTAATTTACAGTTTATACATTTTAAGAGATTTTTGTTTTTGTACTACTACCGCAAGCTTCCATAAGTGGGTCAAAAATGATGCATTTTCTTTGGAATTTCGTTTTTTTCTCATAATGTAAAATAAAATTCTAAATAGTGAAAATTTAAATATAAAATATTTATTGTGTGAACCAAAATATAATACTAAATATTATACAAGTGCATTTTCTTAACCAAAATGACAAAAATGGCATAAAAACACATATTATTCTAATACGGGTCCTTTTTGACCCACTTATGGAAGGTCCAGTCACTCGTGCATCTAAGGTTAATCTAATTGTAGTTGATTGAACTCAACTAAATTAAGTTAAAAAGCACCCTGAACACAAAATGGGCATCAGCTCCAAGTATTGGAAAGCAGTTCAACTTCTTTATTTCTAATATGCATAACAATTGACATAAAGGCTGTCAATGACAATCTTTAGTCCCAGGCTTAAACGGGATGTACAGTAGCATCATAATAAGAGACTAAAGTAATTAGCAGGTCACATTTACTGTTTGTGCAACACAGGATTGGATTACAGGGATATCAGAGAGGCAGACCTTTTTTACAAAAAAAAACTGTAAAACTGCATGTCAAATGTAAATTGGTTTTATTGCAGTTTGGGATCATACATCTACTTTTGCGCCTGACCCTGGTTTATGTTGTCTAATGGCTCCGCCTGTTAACAGCTAGCCAGAGGAAGGAAATGTCTCCACCAAGATGACCATCTCTGTCTGTGGTTTACTTTGATAGTCAGTCGAAACTCCCCAGAGGAGAGACTATTATTTTCGGTCTCAAAGCCTCTAAAATAAAAATGCCTGTGGAAAAACTGACTATGGAATTCTGAAACAAACAGCATTTTAAGAAATCATTATTTTTGTACTTTTTATGAAGTCACATCGGAACTGCACTTCAGATTTCGGACAGGTGACAGAATGAACATCCTCCTAACCTCCTCACTGCTGGGTGAGTGTCTGATTTACACACACCTGCCTCTTTTTAATCCAGTGAATGGCTGCACTAGACTGGCATCCACTGGGAATAATACAAATAGATATATTTTATATTCGATTAAAGAAAATCTTCTACTGGTGGACAGTAGAAAATGTCTGCAACAGCTGCCAGAGAAGTGCTGACTTCGAGCCAAAGCCGTACTCTATCATTTGATGCAGATATCTGTCTCTCAGATAGTTTTGCAGGGTAATACATTTTACTGGGTTGCTGTTAGTCTGCAGGTTTGAGTTTCAGACAGTGCTAAATTAAAATTATGTGCACAAGACAGACTCAGGATAGGGCTAATGGAAATGATTTGGACAGGAATGCAAAGTCACTGTGTTTCCTTTTCTATTCTTGAAAGGCATTATGTTGAAAAACGGACTCTAGTGTAGGTTTCACTGTGTGTGTGTGTGTGTGTGTGTGTGTGTGTGTGTGTGTGTGTGTGTGTGTGTGTGTGTGTGTGTGTGTGTGTGTGTGTGTGTGTGGTGTGTGTGTGTGTGTGTGTGTGTGTGTGTGTGTGTGTGTGTTGTGTGTGTGTGTGTGTGTGTGTGTGTGTGTGTGTGTATGGGTATGGGTAACTAACAGGATGATACAGCAAATGTGTTTACATTCTCTCTGTTCCCATGGGGATGTATACTGTCTAAACAGTCTCATTAAGGCATAGGAAGCTCTCCCCTCTGTCTCACTGTGTGGCAGCACTGCCTTGGAGTGTGTGTTCGTGTTTGATGTGAGGAATGTAGCTCGGTGTGTTTGTGTCAAATATGTATATATTGTTGTTATTTCTAAGAAACAAAAGTTGGATTCTGCCCGTAGAGATGAACTGTGTTGAAACTCTACTTAATACTGTCTTAGTTATATAATCCAAAGTAATCAGTGGACCATAGCCCACTATCTGGCGTGCCGCCATGTGAAAACAAACCATCTGAGCTGCCTGTGGCGTTCCTGTTAATACATTTTACTCCTGATTGGCAGAACACACTGAAGACTACAAATACTGTACCCAAAATGCCACTACTCTACAGGAACAAGCTGTGGTAGCATATGAGGACATAAGGAGAAGTATATGTGTGAAATAATGTCTCTGTATTTCAGGTGCAGTTGTTCTCCAAGCTGCTACAGCTGCAGGTAGTGGCTGAAACAAAGAGTGTGCACCTGTCACACACACTTACAGTATATTCGGCACATGCATGGAACAGAAAAGACTATAATTGAGTTTCCGTCCTTCTGCAGAGACTCTGAAGGTCAGCGTGTATGTGTGGCCTCCGGGGTCAAACGTCTACCTTGGTGAGTGCGTGTTGCTGCAGTGCTCAGTGGAGTCAAACTCCAGCTTTGTGTGGAGCTATGGGTGGTTAAAGCACAGCCCACATGCTGATCCTCCGACCCCAAACCCCAGGCACCTGGTCTTAGGGGACAGCTACTCCATCACCGCAGTAACGAGGGAGGACACCGGCAGCTACCAGTGCCAAGCCAGGCGATGGGACAGCAACAGCTCTTCAGTGGAGTTCCTCAGCCAGACGGCCACACTCAGTGTGTCAGGTGAGCAGCAGCTACACCCTCTGCAGCGAGGCGTCCAGTTTCCCCTGTACACACGAGAGAGGAAAGGACTTACTTCTAATGCAGCAACGCATATTTACAGTTACTGACACATTTTACATTTTGACTTAAGACGGCGCTAAAGAAACTGAGGGAATCAGTTAATGCAATTAATCACAAGGGGAACATCAACATCTCTACCAAATGTTGTAGCAACCCATCCACTAGCGGTTGAGGCAATTCACTTAAATCCATAATGTAAACTTCATGATGGCACTACTGAAAAAGTCAAGGAATCTTGACTCATCCTCTGGTGGCCATGAATGTCTCAAACTTGCATGGTGCAATAATAATAATAATAATAATAATAATAATAATAATACATGGGACTTATATAGTGCTTTTCTTTTGCTTATTTTTTTCTTTCTTTTTAGCGCAATGGTTGTTAAAATATTTCAAGTGGTAAACCGACCCAATTTAATGGCCTCTAGAGCCATTCTACTAATATGGCAAAAAATTGCTTGAATATAATAAGTTTCGTCTTTTAAAAACTGAATACAAATTATTAGAAAATGATGTGTTCTGAAATAAACATAACATTGAGTTTCAGGTTAAAGGGGCATTATATCCTTTGAATTAATGACAGAAGTAAAGCAGCAATGAAACTGATATCTCAGTACACATCTGCTTCTTCTATCTACAGTGTTGCTGCTATAGAGTGAGTTTCAGATTACTAGGTACTTTTAATCTCTACATTTTACCTGTAGACTAGTTTTGCAATGACATATACATACACTGTTGTTGTGTGACACTTTACAGCAATGTAATTATATTGATTATGGTCCCATGTGATTTAGCATTTTTTTGTGTTCAGACACATTTATCAATCCTAAAGATAAAACCATTTGCTAACTCCTCCAGTATGAAACAACTGCATCTCTGATTGTCTGCTTCTCCTCTGTCCATCTCTCTCCTCCAGAGCTGCCTTCAGCCTCACTCCTGACCCTGACTCCCAGCACCAGACAGTTTTTCAGAGAGGAACGTTTCACTGTGCAGTGCCCCGTGTCTCAGACTAACTCCTCAGGCTGGAGGCTGAAGCGCTTCCCTCCCATCTCTGGAGTGAGGCCCAGAGTCTCCCACACTGACCCGTATTCACTACCAGGGGGTGCTGTTAGTGTGGGCAGGTCTGACCGGTTTGAGTTCACTGCAGACAGCGGGAACAGTGGACTGTACTGGTGTCAGGGGGCCAAGGGCCGCAGCAACGCAGTCTACATCACAGTGAGCTGTAAGTCTTCCGTAAAAGTGATGTGAAGGACACCAGGGGACAGACTGGGTGAAAAAACTCTCTGAAGGGGTTAAATGTGCTGTGTGAATAACTGTAAAACATAATAACTAGGAAAGTGCACCAGGTGTTTCTGCAACGACCACCGTTGAAATAATAGAAATGGCAATTGTCTAACCCTTGTCTAAAAGCATCTCCCACACACATCTTAGGCAAAAGACACAGCCTTTCATTCTAGTCTATGAAGCTGGCTGCACATCACTGCATGCTTGTGTTACAGCTGCGTCATATTTACTGTAAGTATTTATTTTAGCAAACTAGTTGTGGTGAAATTCTTGAAACAATGAACCAGAACAAAGGGAGCACAAAGGAGAGCTTGGAAGTGATGTCAGACACTGTCCTGTTATTGTCTGAAGAAGAGATTGTTTTATGGTGTTTTAAGTTGTGGTTAAAAAGGCCCGTTTTATCACCCAGAGAGAATGTTAAAGCCTCAAGGCCCCTTGTACCTGCCCAACAGAGAGAGGAAAAGAGAGACAACATCCAGTATGAATAAACCATACGACTTCAATGTTAACCTTTCCAGCTGCTCAGCCACCTTCTCTCTCTATATGCATCAGTGTTGTAGTGTACTCCTGAAATAACACTGGTATGCATATCAGGAAAGGGAGAAATCCTAATCCCTAAAATGACAAAAGATTCCAAACTAAAGCAGTTGTTGATCACTTGCAGCCCCTATCAGCTTAAGAAGAGTGAGGAGTTAGCATTCAACAAATACAGACAAACACATAAAACTGTGAGGAGTTATAGTGAAAGAATATGTCTGTTAACTATGTCCACCATCGTCCCATTTCACAGATGGCACCATCATCTTGAAGACTCCTGCCTTCCCTGTTTTTGAGGGTGATAAAGTGGTCTTGGTTTGTCAGTACTGGGTAGGCAATCACAGTAAAACAACCTTCTTTAAAAACGGAGCAGAAAACTTCACTTCCCCCGGTTCAGACAGAGTAATAAAGATGACTTTAGAGAATGTGACACAGGAAGATGAAGGCTTCTACAAGTGTGCGTCCCAGGACAGAACGATGGAGAGTCCAGAGGCTTGGTTACCAGTGAGTCCACACCGAGGTCAGCTGAATGGCTCAATGCATTTGATTAAGACATTTCTTATTCTGCTTAGTGTTTTATCTGTTAAAGCTGCCATGGTGAATAATATCAATTGCTGTCTTCTAGGCAATTTCACATCAACAGACGAGAGAGCCGCTTCCAATAGTGGTAACATGATTTTGTATAGTTCATACATTCATTTACTAGTTCTGGAAGGAATAATCAATGATAATAATTACTGTAAAATCAAGTTATTCGTTAACAAGGGGTTATTAGATGACAAAAACATTTTTTAATCTGTACTATAACAAAAGCATTTATACTATGAATCTGTGTACCAGTGATGTAGTTCCTGGTATGATCGTGTTACTGTCGGAAAAAAACGTTGTATCTATTCTCTTCATCAGGCTCCGGGAAATGGGTCATTGTTTCATGTGGAGTTCTTCTTCTTTTCCTCATTCCTGTAACCGTTTGGTTGCTCCATCACTACAGGTTAGTTTAAAAAATCTTCAGCTCACTTAACTTCATACTTCCTACTGTGAGTTTGTCATCAGACGTTTAGACAATTCTTCACTAATTATTGACTTTGTATGATGGCACCAAAGGTTTTGCACCTGTAGGTGTTGGCCGTTTTCCAAAGAGCGACTACAAGCTGTGGAGCTTCCTGCAACCAAGCAGGACGTGACGGAGGTGCAGTGGGACCTGTCCTGGATGGAGATGTCCAATTTGTTGGATAAACAGTTATTTCCTGGAACTTAATGAATCCCGCTTGAAGCATATAAACAAAATACTAAATTAAAGGTCCCATTTCATGGCCATTTCTACTGATCATATTTCCATTGTTGAGGTCTACTAGAATAGATTTACATTGTGCAATTTTCCAAAATCACATTGGTTTCTCATACAGCATCTCTGTATAGTATCTGTATTCACCAGGTATTCACTCTCTGTCCTAAACGGCTTGTTGGAGCTCCTGCCCCCCCTCACTCACAGCCGAAGTAAAAACAATAACGGCCCGTCCACACAGCGGCGTGCGTTGAAGCTTCCAACGCTTCTGCCCATTCACTTTGAATGGGGTGACGTCACTTTTAGCCGAACTGCATCGTGGGAAGCGACGCGGAGCGTTGCTGGCGTGGCTCGCTGCAAAAGTTGAGCAATGCTCAACTTTTGACGCCTCGGCAGAAGCGTCAGCCAATCGAATCATATGCCAGTACAAGCTCTATCCAATCAAACCGCTGCTTGTGTGTCAGGGGCGGGAGATTCATGTGATTGGTTGTTGGTCGAGTGTCAGACACGCCCGCCGGCAAGCGTCAACGCACGCCGCTGTGTGGACGGGCCGTGAGAAAAAGGTTTATAACGCTGTGAGAATGGGAATGCGGAGAGCATTTCTCCACGATCCCAACCCGTCTATTACCAGCGTTCAGGGAGCTCTATGCAAGTCAATGGGGACTCCCTGTTAGTTAGCCAAGGGATCCTGGTGTGTGAGGTGCTCCGCAGATTGGTCCATTTGGGCCAATCCGGTCATTTGTTGTTGATTTGGGTGTATCACACCGTACGTCACAGAACCCAGGAAGAAAACAATGGAAAATGAGAAATCTCCAACGAGGCGTTTTGGGGCAGCATAGACAGGTATTTTCTGTGTTAGAGTTTTACTCGCTACAGGGTGTACTTTGAGGGTTTTTGACTCTGCAGACCGTTTACATGCATAAACACCTTCATAACACACAAGGGGACGGGTAATAACCGCAACCTGATCTCACCAGAATGCGTGACTCCACCACGACTCCTTAACACCGCATTGCGTGGTGGAGTCACAAACTTTGCTACATTTACGTGTATGCACCACGCAAACAACCATTGCGCATTCACACCGCAGTACTTTTCCCACAAAGGTTCATGAGAACTTAGTTCATGAAAACTCTTTAGTTCTCATGAACTAAGTACAGATCGCGTTAGTTCCGGCATTTTTTGGTGTGAACGCAACATTTCGGAACTATATCTAAAGTGGGAAAAGTACTGCGGCGTGAACGCGCCTAATGGAAAGTGAATGAGGCTCCTTTGTCGTGGTGCACACACGCATTTCTTCAATTTCCAGCAGTGAGCTTTAATTCTATAAAACTTTTTAAAATCTACTTTATAGCTTGTAGTAGGCCTAACTCACGGGAGGCTTCTTGTATTTTATTTGTATTCATAATAATTTGTATTTTTCGTCAGAATGTATTATGGCAACCCTGTCTCCTAAAAATTACGTTCCCACAGAACTAAACTGCATTCTCAATTACGTTTAGCAAAAAAACTATTTTCTCCCACATTACGTTCGTTATGAACGTATCTCAAATACGTTTATTTTCTACATATCTTTGCCATTTATTGTCTTGCTTATAATAATGATAATAGTCATTTATAAATATCATTTTAGAGCACACATTTGAAATCAGTAGGCGAGGCTGTAATTTCGCCAGCTGTTACTCTCATGAGCAAGGCAGAAAATATTAGTTTTAACATGCCAAAAAGCTGCTGTGTCGTTTATTGCACATCAAACATTCAAACAAATCCAGAGTTATGTGTTTCTGTACTTCCTCTAGAAGAAAGGACAGTAACAGAAGATCTCTTTTCACACAATACGTCTCCTTGCAGTATCAACACTAATTCGGCTGACTTATTTGATCCAATTGCTAGATAGGCTATATTTACACCATAACGGTGCACAGCTGATAGAAAGGGATTTTTTTGTAATTTATAAAGATATTATTATTTACTACCTTTCCAACTCCTCATCATAGGCGGAGTTTGACATTTGCGCTTGGGGGGGCAAACCTTTTTTACTGACGTCAGTACACAGTCCCAACTATTGCGTGGGGTGCTACGGATACAGTAGCAATAAAGCCAGCGCTCACCGCACTGAGTATGACTTTTCCACATACGAACGCAACTCGTCCCGTTATGCACGCCTCATGCCCGCACACTCATATGGAAGGGGCGGTCTCTCCCCCCAACAACAGTGCATTACATAACTGTAAAACGTATCATAACTGTGCACATCTTATACTGATTTGATAACTACTATATCCCTTGGTTACTTGAACACGCTACAATATTATTAACCAGTGTCCTAGCTTAGTGCAGAAGTAGACGCATTATTTTACGTTCCGCATATCCACTATCCCCTCAGGTGACAGCTGTGCAGTTATGTCGTCCTCAACAGTGGCGGCGCTAGGGGGTGGCTACTTGGGCTCAAGCCCCGGATGTTTTCTGAAAAGCCCCGGATGTTTCACTTAAAAAAAAAAATATATATATAATTTAATTTTTTTAAATTTTATAACGTCTCGGGAGTAATGTGCAGTACCGGAGTCCACCAGAGAGGCAGCCACTGTGGGACATTAGCCTGCGTACAGCGTAGCCTGCCCGGAAGAAGAAGTGATCCTTCCTAGTGCCTGACGAGTTTTAAGCTAATAGCATATACAGTTATGGATATTAGAAAGTTATTGTCATCGAAGCAGCCGGCGCCACAAGCTGCAGCAGCAGCAGTATCAGCAGCTGACAACAATGTCATCACCAGCAGTCAAGAAATGGATGATGTTTCAGGTTTGTTAATCTAATGGTGATATCTGCCCTCTGGCTGACTGAGTAAGAAGTGAAAAAGAGTGATGTAACGTTAATGTTATAGCTAGTAAACATGGAGTAACCACACTAAGTATACCCTTATATGTTAGTATGTATACAGAACATGACTAAATATTATCCTAAAATGTAACGTTAACCCTTCATAACTCAGTCTACTTTTAAGACACTAAAATAACGTATTCCAATTTTTATTTTGTTTTCACACGTGGAATTATACCGGCTCTCGTTTCAGTACACATAACAACAGAACTGACAGGCAACCCTCTGAATCAGACTCCGATTGGCTGTGACTGCATCCACTCAGAGTGTCCGATTCAGAAACGTGACTCTTACACTCTTTACGCCACAAACAAAGATGGTGGATGAGAATAGATCTATAAAACGATAATCAATGCGCCAGAATCAAGGTGAGACTATCCGCATCCTTTAAAACTCTACGCACATTCGTTACACCTTAATAAGTAAACGACTAATTGAGTGAGTTAAGGCATTAGTTTGCTTCATTAAAGGGTGTTAATGAGTGTTCTCCAGTGCCTTTTGTCCGCTTTAAGGTGTTATTAAGGTAGGGTTAATGTTGCTCTCAAAGTGCACCAGATTGATGCTTTCAACTTCAATATTTAAAATAAAATCTTCCCGGGGGAGCATGCCCCCGGACCCCCCGAGAGGAGGCGACGACCCCCCTAAAGGATGTTCGGTCCACCCCCCACTTGTAAAAAAATAGCACTGTACCCCTGCACCCCCTACAACCCCCCCCCCCCCCCCCCCCCCCAACCCAACGACTCCTGGGCTAAGCCCCGGATCTCCTACAATCCTAAATCCGCCTCTGGTCCTCAATGTGAAGAACAGCAAGTGAGGAAAATCTTGTTCCTCCCATCGTTGACCGCAGCCAGTTCCGAATTCTCCTCATTGCAGAAAAACTTCTCTCTGAGGTGGCAGATCCGATAGGAGTCAGTGCCAACTGGAGCATCTTGTATACATTTGGATGAATCAATAAAACACAAAAAACGCTCCTTGATGTCAAGCTGCTCTGCATATCTTAAACACACTGATAATTGTTCCATTTTGCAAGACCTGGCCTCATCTGAAATTATAGAAAAAAATCCAGTATCCTGCACTTTCTCTACAATTTCTGCACAAACTAGGCTAAGTTAGCGCATATGTCAATGACTTCGTTCTGGAAATCTGGGCTAGTCGCATTGAAATAGTTGGACTGCATGTTTTTAAAAGCAGAATCATACTTGGAGAAGAAGCCACAAACCTCAAGAAAATTCCCACGCAACTCTGACTCGCTTCCCTCCCGATGCCCACGAAAAGGCAATCCGAGTTTGGACAACAGCCTCACAATATCAACAATTTTGCACAAATAAGATCTGTTCTTCTCAAGAGAATCTTCGTGGCTTCGGGAAAGTTTAGCTGCAATAGATCCAGAAGACGCAGTCACTTTATAGTTATCCCATTTAACCATGCAGTTCAGATGGGCCTGGGAGTGTGCATGTTTCTCCAGTTTGCTGCTTAGTTTTTTTTCCAGTCACTCAGGCCCTTTCTAAAGGAATCCTCCACACCGCTGTCAGTCTGGAAGTTGCAGCATGAAAAACAGAAAACGGCATCCATTCGTACTGAATATTCCAGCCAGGGATAGTTCTTATAATAGTACGTGGAAAATTATCGTTTTGTTTTCCCAATCATTTTTTAGGGGAATTCGGATAAAGTAGGCTGCTTGGGACAGCTGTGTTTTTCCCCAAGATCATCATGACCCATTGACAGCCCCGGCACCCGTGGTCTCCCTGCTGTGGGGTTAATGACGTTAGCTGGTCCTGCTAATCCAGAACTCTCCGCTGTGGGGCTAACGTTATCTGGTTTAGCTAATCCAGAGCTGCTTGTTCGTGTGTCTGCCACTTCACATTCTGATGGCTGCTGGTTGGTAAGGTTAGGCTCAGTCGGTGGCTCTTCTGTTGTTGAAGCTTTTACAAGACGAAATTGGACGTTTTAAAAATCGCTGAATATCCATTACTGCTAATTCTTGTAATACAATAGCTGAATTATTTGTATACAAAAAAAAGCGAGGGAACTTGTGTCCTTAACCTCACACGTCACACACACACAAACGTCACAACATGCGACTGCTCAAAAATGAAATTATTTCAAACAAAACATGATATTATTCAGATTTGTATTGTAACAATCATTTTATTACATCTATTAAAATATTGATATACGAAATATTTGTATTGGAACAGTTTTAGACTTAGTAATGCAGTAACATATTTCAGC